GAAGGTCCTGAGTCCGCCCCTACCTAGGGGCGGGCCAGGCGGAGGGAGGACTGGCTGTCCCGCTGTTGGGCCTGGGGCTCCCACTTACTGCCCGGCCGTGCGGCTGTTCTCAGCAAATCCCTGTCTTCTGCGAGCTCCACCCTCTTCTTCATGATGGGCGCTGTCGCTATGACCTCCCAGAACGCCCGGAAAGCCCAATCACTTTATAAATGGGAAGAATCCAAGCCAGGGGTTGGCAAGCTACAGCCGGAGGCCAAGTGGCCTATTTTTGTCAATAAAGTTTTACTGGCACAGATCCACACCCGTTCACTTACATATTGTCTATGGCTGCTTTTGCATTCACAGCAGAGTTGAGTGTGGCCCACAGAGCCTCAAATACTTACTGTCTGGCCCTTTACAGAAAAAGTGGGTCAACCCTGCTCTAGACTAAGCCTATTTGATTCTCAGCAGCTCAGGTCCCACACCCACCAGGGGCCTGAAGGTAGCTGTGCCAGGCTCTGAGACCCCCAGGTCCCTCATAACTGTACCCCCCACTGAGCTCCATAAACTTCAAGTCAAAACTCAACAATCAACAAGCATTCCCCAAGTTCCCGCTGGAGAGGCGTGCATGAGTGTGCGTGCGCACACACACCCCAGTCCTCCAGTGCTAACCTCCCCCGAGCCTTGGGCAGGGTTATCATGAACACTCTGCATGCTTCACAAACACAGCCCCTGCTGAAAGACCCCAAATTCCCTAGTGTGAACGTTCTTGCTGGCTTTTTTTTTTTTTTTAGCTGAGCCATCTGGCAGCTCAGCAGCAGCTCAGCTCAGGCTGGGAATCGAACCACTGTTGCTCAGAGCTCGCACTCTTGAACAAGCTCTTAACCAACTGAGCCTCTTGGCCGGCCCTTGCTGGCTTTTTAATAAAAGCCATTCTTTCATGACCTCAAGCTATCGTTGGGTAATTTGAATGGACACGAAGTTCTAACATGCTTGGAGTCCACCATCTTTTCCTGGAATCAGCTTTCCAGCCTCAGCTCATCTTTCTAAGAATTACGATCCCAGAGCGGATCCTGGGGCAAGGTCCACTTCCAGCTCTTACTATGGTCCCTTCAAGAAAGAGCACTCGCTGGCGAGTAGGAGAGACCAGCTTGCTGACTGTCACAAAGCCACCGTGTATGGAGCACTTACTGCGTGCCGGGAACCACGCCAAGCACGCCCCTGGCCACGTTGCCGTTCAGCCCAGCTGCATCTGACAAGCCCTGACTCCACCCATGGACACTGGAGGCCTGGCTGAGGTTGGCAGGGGCCCAGGACCTCAGCAGGGGTCCAGGTGGGGGCAGCCCCCTCTCCTGGCCCGCAGTGCCGGTGGCACCAGGAGACCGTACAGCCCCCACACCCCCAGCCTGGCATTTGGCTGGTACCCCTGGGGCAGGTACGTACTTGTGATTCCAAGGATCTGCTCATAGGCCTTGAAGGTCAGCAGCGGCTGGGGCAGCTCTCGCAAGAAGGTCTTCAGGATCACGGCAGGGATGTGGATGTCCCCATAGTCATCGAAGTTCACAGGCTTGCCTGGACACAGAGCATCGTGCCCCTGAGAGCGGACCCTGGGCTGGGGATTCCTGCTTCAAAACGGGCTCTGATGCAAAACGGCTCTAAACCTCCCAAAGGGAAGACCCTCAGGCTGGAGCCACAGGTCCAGGGGACGACTGTCTTCTCCTGGAAAAGGGGGTGCTGTCACCCCACCCTCCTTGCTTCTCCAGGGTGACTGGCGGAGGTTGGGGCATGCTAGTGAGTTCTCCGCTGCGTGGCTTGGTCTCGCCTAGGATGCCAGTGCTCTGAGGTCAGGGCTCCGGCTCTCACTGTCCCCATGCTCAGCACACAGGGCTGAGAAGGGCCGGTCCTGTCACCTGCTGAGTGGGAATGACCAGTGTGCATGCAGTCGAGGGGAGACCTCCTTGTCAGTGAGCTGTTTTACTAATGTCACTGGCGTGCTGAGCTCTGACGCCATGTCCCCTTACCTGCAGGTGACACAGGGCAGCTGAGGAAGCCGTTCTGTAAGAGCTGGAGAAGCTGCCTGAGGTAGACCCCGCGAACAACTTCCTACACTTCATACCACCTACCCGCCTGCTCTGAGTGTAGTTGAGAAACCCTAAAGGCAGGTGTGGCCACCTGGCCCTGGGAGGCTACGGGCCTGTGCATAGGATTCACCTGGGCAGCTCCCCCCAGCCCTGAGCTATTCCAGGGCCTGAGGGATAGGGGTTATGCTGCCTTGGGTCTTGGGGCTCTGAGGCCCTGGAGGACTGTGGGACTGGCTGGGTGGGAGGCTCAGGGTGAGGGGTCACTGGGAACCGACTCACCTTGATTGTAGAGCCGCTGGATCTCGTGGACGGTCTGGACACTGGCGGATCTCCGGAACAGTCCCTCTGTGCGGAGTCCTGTAGGGAAAGAGCCTTCAGGCATCTCACAGGTCCCAGAGCACCGGGTTTCCAGAACGTTCCATGATGCCCCCTGCCCGCACGTCACCCTTCTGTGGCTGGCAATGAACTCTCCCCAGTCTGGCTCATTTCTCCCCCCCCCCCCCCCCCCC